AGAAAATGATTTATTGATATGAGTAAATGGAAGATAATAAGAATTAAGTGACCCTCTCCTCATAGGTTTAATTTGTCCAATTCAAAAACAGTTTAATGGAAAATTATGATCAGAAGTCTTCCTATTTTGGCAAACTGAGTTGCAGAAATTATTTAAAAGGAACTTTTGATCATGAGAATACCGATTAATAATGAGTTAGCATTAGTGAGTATTCCCGCTAATGGGGAAGAACAAAAATACAGTGAGGCTGAAAAATGCATGACAATTTAAATGAGTCTTTTAACATCTACTCAGTTTAAATCAACTTTTTACTAATTTGTGCTACACTGCATTGAATACCGTATTTACCGTATTTAAATATTGTACTTTTAACTAATTTTATTGCAAGGGTTTGTGTACAAAGCACAGTATTAGAGGTAAATGTGAGAATGGCACTGAGGAATCAGTCTCTGATCTGGGAGTGATATATTTACACAGCTTGGAGCATTTGGAAATCCTTACCACTGGGTTGTTTGCAGACCCGTGTAGCATAACACTTGTAATCTCATACTAATGTGGGGTGGGAGCATGACCCCATCAGAAGAAGAATAATGTCTTATTCATACCTTTGCTGGCGATCTCAGCAAAGGTTGTGCATCTCAATAGGGTTGGATCTGTAGCTGCTCTGTGGAGCTTCCAGACCTGTCGCTGCTCTCAGGTGGAGGGGGTGCTGGCGTGTGGGACCTAACCCAACCCCACCAGAGCTGTACCCTTCGTAGGTGTAGGTAGTCAGAATTGCAGTCTCCTATCATTTCATACACCTGTTTTTTTTTTAAATGCATGCGGTTCATTTCTTGAGCTAAACACATGTAGATGCCTTCCCTGCACCAACTATTTATGGAAATACCCAAGAGCAGGGTCTGTGTCAAAGTACTGTATTTGACACAGTGCTTCCCTTTGCTGACTTGACACGTGAAAGAGGAGATGGGGAACTCTGTGATGCACCTCTTGAGGATTTGTCTGATCATGTTTACAATTGGTGTGTCACACCGACCTAGTGTTCACCCCGGGTCAGAGTCTGTCCTTTAATGGCTTCTGTTCCACTGGCCACGTTCCTGTTTGGCATCGTAGTGCATTTTAGAACACGGATTTCTTTTTAGAGACATGAAGCATCTTTGGTCTCTTAGTTTTAAGTAGGGACTGTTGTAAGTAAAAATGGATGCAAATGTAGTTGGTTCTGCAAAATAGCATTTGTGTTTTGAAATGAAGCGGCATTGTGCGGTGTTCAAAACTCTTACAATCATTTTCTATGAATATTTGTGCAACTGGGATTTACTAGCAAAATTGAGGTGGAAAGGAATCTTTAAGCATGAATATCAAATCACAGAGTTACATCTTCAGCTAAAAAGAAAACAGCTGGTGGTGTAAAGATATCATAACAATGCTTTTACATGTGCTGAAGCTGGCATATGGCCAGAAGCCTTGGGTGCCACCAAAGGTTTTATTAATCCATTGGAGCTATTGACAGGTGGTGCAGTTCAAGACATCCCCTAAGATTTGAAGCTCTGTGCATGAGTAACAAAGAGGAGTTTAGCTGCCGCAGTTTGCAGCAGATGTGACCTGTTGTGGGATGCCCTGTGTCATTGGAAATGCGAAGATGCACTGAAGTTATCCTGGATTGTTCGCTCCTTGGCATACTAAATGCCTCTCTAAAGTATTTCAGAGTCTGAGCTATAAAGTAATTTAAATTCAGAAAGGAAGGTAATAAAATAATAGATGATAGAAAAAACCTCTGTATAGTATAGACTGTTTCAAAGACCATGAAAGACTTTATCAAATACCTTTTACAGCAGAATTCATTTGTGTTACTACAGGGAACAATTGTGATCCTCATATCTAGACAATAATAAAAATCTGAAAATGTTTCCCCTCTTCCTCAGATGCTGAATATTTTGATGCTGAAACTCGCCCCAAATTGGTCATCATTAATCTTTAGTTTATACTCCTGCCCATCTCCCTGATCATTCCTGCTCCTGTTTATGGCTTTTCTTTCTACTGATTCCTGTTCAGTCAAGTCCAGACACCAAGGGAAGCCCTATATAGATCACCTGCTGGAGGACTAAGGAAAATTTTGTCCAGCATTGACTCTCAAGACAGACATACTCCAGGCCAGCTTCCCTACTTGGCTTTCTACCTAGTGCTGGAAATGAATTTTTGGCATAAAAGTCTTAAGAGATTTGGGTAATCTTAGTCTCTTTATTTGAATGAGTTTGTGTTTTTAATGTTACAGCTTCAGGGCAGCCAGTGACAGGCTTGAATGTTTGACCTCACAGTCTCAAAAATAAACTGTTACATAGCCATTTAAAAAGAAAGGCTTGTGGGGGGGGGAAAAAAAAAAAAAAAAAAAAAAGGAATCCAAATTTAAAGTTACAGTGAAAATCTGTTGATTCCTGTTCTGCAGGTGCTTTACAATTTACTGTATAGCCTATAAATCTATTACTGAAGCTACCTACTACCCCGTAGATTATTAAGTAAGAATAGCGAAACACGGCATTGAGTTACGTTCTTACCTTTTTAGCCTCCTGTCTCTGTCCCAGAGTAAAACCTTGTCCATGGGAGGCAAACCAGAACTTCAGATAGCTGATGGGCAAGCTTAAAACTAAAATCCAGCTCTAGGATTTACTTTGACTTTACGTTTATATTGAATTTACCATTTTTTGTCTTAGATCTGAAAACAGGTCTAAGACTTAGAGTGAAAGTGCTAAATGAGTTATTAGTAGCATCTTGGTAATTTCCCACATCGAATCAACTCAGCAGCTTGAAATGAAGAAGGATGCTACTGTTTGACGCAGCTGTGTTGAGTTTGGTTTGTCCTCAGACCTTCCCCAGGCTGTGTAAATGAGCAGGAGGGCTACTGCCGTTAAGTTCCTGCTATTTACAAGTTAGAGTTTGGGAAAAGAGAGAGAGAGTAAATTTTTCCACTCCTGACAGGAAAAAAACAAACCCAGACAACGTAGATTTTAAGACCTAGTGGAAAAGTTTTACATTTGCAAAGGTTTTTGAATACCACTAAGGAATCAGCTTCCATCTTTCCATGAACTACTGTACGTTGTCACAGAGGAGCAAAGTTGTACTAAGTGCAACCTTCTGCTCTGGCACCTGTCTATGTACTCTGTCTTTACTATTTCTCAAGTAATATTCTACTACCTTCAAACTTTGAAATGCCACGAAGCAACAGTCTTCCAGGAGGCAGCTGCCTGCGTGCCATTTTGTGTAGGGTTTATTAAACTAAATGCAAACATGTACATGAAGTTTGGGGAATTATTTTTTTTTTGCAGCTAAATTGGTGTGTTTCCAGCGAATGCTGAGAATTTGAAGCTGCAGAATGAAGGGTATAAGCCTGTCTGTTAATGCAGTTTCACAGCGAAGGTGTTAAAATTAGCAGAAAAAGAAAGGGAGAGAGAAAATTGTGGAAAAGCTTCATCTATCTCCTTATTGCCTCCTGAGATAGATTGTTCAGAGCTAAAGGAACACTAGACATGAACCAAATCTCCTGCTGTCCTATATAGCTTTTACAATCTCCTTTTTAATAACCCAAACTGCAGGGTAGTCTGACTATTAGACAAGCCGTTCTTTTGAATTCTCTCCACAATGTGTATAGACATGATAAAAAAACAATTCTCATTAAAGCTGCCAATGCTGTTTCAAAAGCAGGTGGCTTAAAATGTTTCCTATACAAAGCAAAACACATTTCTGGTGCATTACACACTGCTTAATAGGGAGTGTAAGATTACACTGCTATGTTGTGTATAACACTGCATCTTAAATAATAGGATATTGTAAGTTGTGTTGGAAATATGTTTAACATGAATATGAAAGATGTAATGATATGCACTGAGCAATTTTCAGAAGAGCTGGAACACAGCCTTGTGTGACAACCTCTGAGCTAAAGTAGTTGAAAATAGGATCTGGAATTTGAGATTTTACAGTCTCTGATCCTAACTGATTATTTCTCTAGGAAATTGTTCAGTCAGCATGTGGGTATATGAAAGATAAGAGTTCTAGTGTCCTATGGAAACATTTATTGTTTGTGTTGTCAATTAAGGACGGTAGGGATGGAGTGCATTCATCATGCCTTTTCAGTTTTCACTGAAGTCAGTAGTTTGTGAGGAATGCAGGACTGGTGTGAAGTAAAAATTGTGATCTACAGCTCCATCCCTAAACTGTCTCTTCATATTCTTTTCCAAATCAGTTTCGAAAAAACCCACCGAGATCCAGTTACACTCTTGTGCAAATTCAGAGTTTGTCGTTCACTTCAGTGGGCGCAGATTTTGGTCCTTCACTCATGTACCTACCTTTCGCTCTGTAGGTGTGTTTTCATCAGCTATCAGAAACTTGTGGAATTAAAAAAAAACATATAAAGTATGGTAATTTGGGTTATCATGAATAAGCACAGTAATTCATGTTATCCTTACAAATATATTCCAGTTGCCTCAATGTTTTAATCAGAAGTTGTATTTTAAAATGAACCCAAAAAGTCTGTATGTATTACAATCTGCTGCTAATGAAATAAAATGCATTTGAGTCTTCAGTATGCCTATCTCAATTTCACTATCTTCTGCTTTAAGAACTAATTACTTTAGTTTCGATACATCAACCTGTGCAAACAAGGTGAAAATTGATTATGAGCTGATTAATTTAAATAAAATATTACCATGAATACTATGTAATGTAGCCTGGCAGCAAATTGCCTGTTCTTAAAAAGGTGAAATTTAAAAATGTGTTTTCTGTGAGTCCTGTTTCTTCGGAAAAATCTCGATAAATTCAACAGGTGACATTATAGATAATCCAGTAATCAGTGTTTCACCCGCCATTTCATGGACCCATAAACTACTGCAGTTTTACTTACATGACTCTAGCAACTATTAATGTATGTAAATAACTTGTGAAACATCTAGTTATCACTCTGCTCATATTAGCTCTTTCATACTAATGATTTATTTTCATTTTCTCCAGGATATAGACCTGCGGCTAACTGGATTTGATTTATAAGAGGGGATTCTGCAGTAAATGGCTGCTCTCTTCATATTGCTGCTATGGAAAACAGAATTGTCAATAGGATGTAGTCTGATAAATAGTGCTGAGTGAAGATGCAGCTTCAATAAGTGTGAAATCAATGGAAGATACTTACTGCATGAAAAGCCTTTTGAGATTTTTCTGACAGGCACCTATTTAGGAAACTTGATCTGTTTCCTTCGGTTGCTCTGTTTTTACACCAGTGGATACAAATCAGATCGCTTCATTGTAGTTACACAACTAATGTGGGACCATGGCCTTTCCAAGATCCGTGTGGCTGAACTGTGTATGGAGAGCGATGGTAGTCCGCCTGTTACACATGGGATTGAATGCCACTTTTGCTTTTTGTATACTTGGATTTTTGCTTCACGCTGCAGCTGTGTCCTCCCAAAAATTGGATGATACCAACCCAGTGGTGACCACCAACTTTGGCAAGATAAGAGGGATTAAGAAGGAACTTAATAATGAAATTTTGGGGCCCGTTATTCAGTTTCTTGGGGTTCCGTATGCTGCCCCTCCAATAGGGGAGCGCCGCTTTCAACCTCCCGAGCCTCCGTCTCCCTGGGCAGATATCAAAAATACCACCCAGTTTGCTCCAGTGTGTCCCCAGAACATTATAGAAGGCAGGTTGCCTGAAGTCATGCTTCCCGTGTGGTTTACTAATAACTTGGATGTAGTTTCCACCTATGTACAAGATCAGAATGAAGACTGCCTCTATTTAAATATCTATGTCCCAACCGAGGATGGTGAGTTAATAGCAGGCGAAACAGGGAGATCTTTTTATTTTCCTGTTCTACGTTCTAACAATATTAATTCACGTGTACTGGTAGCATGCACGGCTTTCTTTGTTTGCATGCCAGCTTATTACATGTATGCATGCTGCTTTTCTGTGTGTGCATCTGTCCTCGTTTTTTGGTTTTTTGTTTTTTGTTTTTTTTTTCTTTCTGTCTACGCTCATTTTTTTTTTCCTCCCACAGCACGTGTATTTTTAGGTCAAAGTTGGTACCTAATTCTCATTGCCACCCACTGACTTCTGGGAAGATGCATCAACATCTTATCCATTGCATGTGCAGGCACAACAAGTTGAGAATCTTCCGCACCTAATAAAGCAGGTCATATTTAAGTTAGATAGTGGTGTTGCATGCTCCTACTGTCTGTGATGGAGCTCCATGTTATTTTCTAGTCTTCTATTCATTTTTCAGTCAAAAGAATATCCAAGGAATGTGCCAGAAAACCCGGCAAGAAAATTTGTAGAAAAGGAGGTATGTATAAAGTGGAAAAAAAAAAAAAAAAAAAAGTACGGGGGAAAGATGGAAACCTTGCAAAGGAAGAAGGAATAATACAGCTGAAAGAGGCTGATTTGCTGATGCTGTGAAGTGAACTCTTAGGGACTGTCTCGTCCTAACGGAGCCAGAAAGGTATTTAAAGAGAGTAGTGTGTAAAGCAGATGAGCAGATAACATTTGTAAAGCCTGACCTCAGTTGCACCTGATCTTGCACTGTCTCATGCAGACCTTGTTGGCAGCTTGTCTGTCTCGGCCTCGTGGTTTAGGGGATGCCTGTCACTCGTGCGCAGGCACAGTACGTTGTATATGTGTGCATAGGGGGTAGCTCACGTGCCTGGGGTCTGGTTCTGTTGCCATTGAAGTTGCTGGCATGGCTCCACAGCTCTGTGTGCCAGTGGTGTAGCGTAGTGGCTGTGATGTATTACAGCAAAGCAGGGCTGAAAATCTGCATCGACTTTCTACGTGATATACCCTGTTTTCTTGGAACAGCGTTAACTTCCCAGAAACGTAGATGTGAAACGCTTTTTTTCGTTTACACGCTTCTAAAAGTGAGCGTCGATTTCCTTTATTATGTGATTACAGCTCTCTTTGTAAAGCTGAAAATCTCTTAATAGGGGTGTAGGGAAATGTTAAAATATTGTGACATGGCACTTTGGAAACTAGGCTGCTTTTGGAAGCTTTGGAAACTTGGCTTCTACCGGTTTCACAATAGATACTATGGGAGAATTTGCAGATTTCTTTGTGAACATTTGCAAATTCCCCAAGCAATTGATATGTAATAAAAAGTATATTTTGGTACTGATTTAAAGTAGGTATTTGGTGCTTAGTTTCAAGTACTAATTTTGTACTGCTTTACGGGTTTGTTTTACATGAAATGATTTTTATTTCTTGTTTTGTTTAAAATAATGTGTTATTTAATAGCTGGACTGCATTTGAGCCTAGAATACTTCCTTAGGGTAAAGAAAGAGTAGCGTGGACTTGCGTGGTTGCCTATTAGCTGTAATCCATGTTTTTTTATATCAGTTGCTGTATGTCCCTTTTATACCAGAACAAATACATTTTAGGAAAAGTGTCATAGCAGGATATTTTTTAGAGTTGGGCAAAGCTCAACTCTGTAAACTCTATATTAGGTTTTTAAGGCGATATCTCTGCAGCTAAGTGGAGGTGGCCTTATTTTCCAAGGGTTTTGCTCTTACAGCTCCTAATGACTGCTAGTTGTAGCTAGTTGTTAATTATTAATTGTTAATTGTAGTTGTTCCATGTATGCTTTTTTAGACGTCCAAATCCACTTTCAGTGCCTTAAGGCAATTGGTTTTGAAAGTGCCAGGCTTTGAGGTAACTTCTGATGCTTTCTGTTAGGGCATGTTTGCTCAGTTCTGTAAAACTGCAGTTGTTAAAGCTGGATTCCCAAAGTTGGAAACAAAGATAATCAGGGTACTGCGAGCAACGTCACTTCTTCACACATCATTCAAGTTAGAATAGCTGCTGTCATTTATATGCATTCAATTAATGTGCAGTGCTGCAGCAGTTATTACGCAGTTCATCAAGCGTGTGTAATTAGCTGAGCAACTTTCACTTCCTATCACCCAGACGCTGATTCACAAAGTCATAAATAAAGATGCAGATCTCCATCATTGTTCTCAGAAAGCATCTTTTCTATGAGAGAATATTAAAAAGAAAAAAAAAAATCAGGAAAATAGCAAAAATAAAGGGAGGGAGAGCCCAGTAGATGAGAAAGTCACGTTTATTGTTCTTTGAAATTCAGTAGGTGCCTTTCCAGTTGAATTCATTGCACACACAGCACAATAACAAGCAGCAGAAGCCTACCTTTTCCCCTTGACAAGCGCAGAGAACTCCTGAATACCTTCAGCCTGGGCAGCTGGCATAGCTGTAGTAATCTCTGTTCTCTGAGTAACTCTCTACTCACCTGTATATAACCCAAGACTATCCCTGGCTTGGATTGCCCCCATACCTAGTAGTAGAAGGAATCATGCTGTAGAAAAAGTTGCAATAGAGTCGCAGCATTTTAGCAGCAACAGTAGCAGCTTGGAAATAGCATTGGGTTTATGTGGGAAAGAAGGAAGGCCCAGTATTCTCCCTCTTGCTGGATTTTTAGGTTGCAGTCATTTAATTACATTTAGTGATGAAAACTACTGGAAAGAGAAAATATGAAAATAAGTGGCAGGGGTTTACACCATCTTTTTAATTAATAGGGGATACATTAATTCAGAGTGGCTGAACGAACAACCGTATGCTGTCATTATATATAGTTTGATTCTTATGACATGAAATAGATGGAATTTGATGAATAAGTGGGTTACTAAATTGTCATCTCAAAGGCATGAGAACGTTCAAAATTTTGAACAGGGAGTAATCTGATGAAGATAGATGCAGAAATGAAAGAAATTCTTATCCATGACTCGTGCTCAAGATAGTAATGAGCATTATAACTATTACCACCTGTCGGAGGGATTCGGATATGCACTGCAGAAGCTCCAGTATGATAGGCTGGAGCTGCGTGAAAAGGAATGGGTTAATATAGTATTCTTTTTGCTATATATGGATGCCTGTATTTCAGTTTACTTCATCTTCAATTTGCTGATTCAATAGATGAAGAAAGATCATCTCTTTTGATGTCTTTGGCTTCCAGGTATGTGAAGGGCAGAGGTTACGAATTCTGTTATGACTATGCATACAAGCAGAAACCTTCCTATTTGCTAGCACTGGTTTTAGAAAACCTGTGCAAAGGCATCTAATTTGTGGGGGTTTTTTTAGAGGCTAGACTTCATAATTCTAAATTGTAATAGAACCTAGAGGTAACATTTTACGGAGTGATGTTAATCATATCGCCGATTGCGTGGTATTTCCTGACGAACCTTTGCATCATTTCTAGGGAATACCTGAATAGTATTGCACGCTGTTTGGTGTTTCTGATCTGTATTTTATTTTATAATCAAAGCACAAATACTTCACTTGTCATCCAGAATGACAAGATAACTTATTATCTCTTAGGAGGACTGTACATCCTGCTGTAGCTGCATGCTTGTGGTTTTTTTTTAATACTCTGTATTAATTTCTTTGTGTTGCAAAAGTTTGCACCATGAATTTCCTACTTTGATGACAACTAAGTAAAGAAAATTTGAAAATGATCGCTAATATGACCACTAAAAGAAACCGAAGGCATTGTGTGTTCTGCACGTGGGATGGTAGTGTGCTCTTTCTCAGGAATCCGTACTAAAGCCTTCATATTGCCATCTGAATGTGAAAGTGTGGAGGTGTACTTTTTGTAGAGAATACGATATATACTCAATGTCATGGAATGGGGCACATGCAGTTTTGGGTACATTAGTATTTGTAGAGGGATTGGGATGGAATAAGGAAATAAATCACTTGATCCGTACTTTTATGTTCAGGAATTATCAGTGGCTAAGAAACTGCCCAACATCAGTGACTTCTTTGCCTGTGGATTCTGTTTCTTATTCTAGTCGGTGCAGTGAATAAATTTTAAATGCAAAGAATGATGATCCGAACAACCTTATTTGAGAGTGTAAGATTAGACAGCTCTATTAATATTTATGCCCCCTAATAGGCTACTTGATTTTCAGAGCAAAGCTCCCAACACCATACTTCCTGGTTATGGCTGTGGTTACTGTGGAGGCGCAGGAACATATTATACATACATACATACAAATATATTCTTGAAAATGAAACACAAATCACGGTGCTATAATCTCATCCCGCTTTGATCATTCTTTTTGATAAAGAATATGTTACATCAGTTGTGATTTGTAAATGGCACTGATGACTTTAAGGATTTTAAGCTTAGCAATATGAAATACTTTCTTCAAATCTAAGCAGAAATGAAAAGAGGCCAATTTAGACTGTTACCCTGTGTTTCTGTTGGGTGTTTCAATACTCCATTTAACTATCCTAGAAATGTTTACTTATGATCGAATTTTGGAAAAGAGAAATTAATGCAACATGTGCAGTTCTTATGGACTTAATGAAATAAACTTTCTGTATACCTGTTTCAACTCTGACATCAATCAGAAAAGGACAAGCTGAGACCTGTTAAAATGTGTATTGCCACTGGCAGAATTTGTCAATTGATTATCAGATTCTCTTTTCTAAATAAGTAATGTAGAAAATAATATCAAAGTAATGGACTTGTTGATAGTGTATTGTCAAAAATGATTGAAATATTCTTTCTCCATGGCCATATAAATGAAAAGTATGAAATCTAAGGTGTGAGCCTCCTTCACTGTAGACCAAGCTATGTCAGTACACGTTGCACTGCCAGTAGGTAAGAACATGCATTTGCAGACCACTGCCGGGGCTCATGGCGATTTGAGAGTGAATGTCAAAGCCCACAGAGCTACCTTAGTGCATATCTTGGTGTATATCAACTGTTACAAAGAGTGCACCTCTTCATTAGGCCCCTTTGAAAATTCATAATGAATTATTTGCCCCCAGTATATTTGTGTCAGTAGGTGCCTGCACATATCTGAAGTTTTGCCCCCATTCACCCTTGCTGGCCCTCATCCTCATTCTGGCCTCGTGAGGCCAAAATACATCCCTGTGGTATCAGCAGGCACAAATGGAATCCGCAATCCTGCACTCCGGTGCTGTGCGCTGACACCAAGATTGGTCTGTTTTGCTATTCCTTTTTGAAGCGCTGTATTCCCGCTATTCATTCCTCAGATACCACTGCAGCATCCTCTGTTATACTGGTAATACATGGAAGAAGATAATGAAGCAAACATTGTCTTGTACAGACCTTTTCATCCTTTCACAGTCTAAAGCTGTTAGTGTCAGTTAGCAGCGTTTTTCAAAGATGTGCAGTAGGTTTTATGTCATATTTGAAATAAAATAAAATGCTTAAACTCTGATGTACTTTCTATGGTCCTCTTTCTGGGTGAGCCAGTGCTTGAAAATAGAAAACTTTGCAGACTGCATTTTAAGACTCCAGTCATCTTA